TACGTAAAACGCTCCACAACTTCCAGTGTTTCTCCTTGGATCGCAAATGGCGTGTTCATTGACTGCACGTCCACAAGCATGACCTTACACTTTGTGGGTGCAAAGTGCATACCAAAGGACGGGATGACTTTGGTCAGTTCATCCAAGAATACTTGCGCCTTCTCCGCCTCTTCGAACATGAGAACGATGTCGTCTGCATATTCCAGATCGACAAGGTTTTTTTCACAGGCTATTTTAACACCAGGGTTTTGGAGACGTGGGCTGGGATACTGCCAGGGCGCCCACACCTAGACAGGAGGACGATTAGGGTCCTCAACCAAAGCCTTTAGCTCAAAAGCCTAACCGCAAGGCAGCGGTGTTTGACGGGAAATGCAAATGCATTACCATTTCTACGGAACAAGTCGCCACATGTTCCAACCCCCAACCTGGAGGGCCAGGAGTCTGTGTTCGTCAGACCTCTAACCATTGACCAACCTGGTATGAGAGACTCTGTAAGTGTCGCGGGACACTCTCCAGTATAGTTCAATGGATCGCTGAAGTACGCAAACCGTCACACCACGGCAAGGTCCAGTCTCTTAGTGACGGTTTGGGCCACTTAGTGGGAATTCAATCCATGTGATGAACGACTGTCTACATTTTTGCTGAGAGATTTCAAGGCTTATAGGGCACCGAACTGCTGTTGCACAGGCTAACATACAAGCGGGGTTAGTGAACAAACGTCTCGAGGATCGTGGCGAGAATGCAGAGGTCGTACGGTAAAACCTAGGGGACCAAAGAGAGTAATTCTATTTCAACAAAAAAATTTACAAAAACGATTCGCAGAGCCAGCACGACCACTCAATTACCACACCCAAAACCGTTAAGCAGACAGCACACTGACTTCACCATTTAATCACAAAACTCATACAACAATAGAATTTCAAATCAAGTGAAGTTAGTTTTTATGTGATTTCGTTCCTCCGACAGGTTGTTGAGTGGATTGTAGAGCTTGTGTCATCATTAGTTTACCCATTGTTTGTCCGGCCATTTGTGACAAGCTAGTGCAGTAGAAGTCCAGTTGTGCAGAGACCAAAGAAGTGTCCAAGCGAATTGGGGCGAGTTCACGATTACGGGCTTCTTGTGAAGACTGAAAAATATGGTCGTATGCAAAATTAGCGTCAGAGCAGAAGACTGAAAATCATGAAACATTTAACACAGAAACATACTCCAATGAGTGTCACTTGGGGAGACCGGCAGAAAACACAAGGAAAATACATAGGCTTAGACAGACACAGTTTCCCCAAAGTAGCTCGGGAAACCTAAAACTGCTAGATTTTTGCGTGGCCATCTCAGACTGGACTAGACTAACCAAAGTTATAAGCAGCGCAAAATCACCCATCCACACGCTTTCAATCAGCTGGAAAGGGAACAGAACTCGGCACAATCGTGCCGTACTCTTCGGGTTCGGTGTGATTGGTAATTAGAACACAAGTTGGATTGGTCGCCTCTGTAGAATAACGAAGGTTGATGAACATCTGGTAGCACCTATTTAATGAACGATTGACAAACAGGAAAAACCTCGTTTTCGAAATGCACACAACGAGTGCTAATGATAAGTTCCTTTCCACAGTGGAAGGCTGGAACCCTGGTCAATGTGACCTACTAGAGATTACCCGTCTATACATGACTTCAACTACATGCAAACCAGGTAGGGCGGATTAGGTCTTCGATGGGATATCACCAAACGAATGAGGTGGAGTGGCGGATTGTTGCGGTACGAATCCCACTATTATTTAGTAGATGGGATTTTAAAATACGATTTTATCCGACACAAGTAGCAAGGACACAACCTCCACTAGCTGAACGGTTCAGAGCAGTTGTCATATGATTAATTAGGTAAAAGAACATCACGGCACAGAGCTACGATCATCATACTCACTGTTTCTGTTACCTTACCCAATAACTGGATCATTTCACTCCTAAGATCTCCACTTGAGGTTCTAAAGCGACACATTTAAGGGCGGTAAATCACCAGAATGTTGGTCGATTACAGATTTCTTCATGAAAAAACGCTACCGCTCTACTCATTTTTAAGTAAAAGTGAAAATGAAATCATTAATTTGAACGAGGGACAAAAGTGTAGCCCTGAGGTTTGTGCCACGGCACTCACCTTTCCTATCCCAGAACTCTGAGATTTCGCCAGGCTTCGCTGATACAGGTACTGATAGTCGTGGACTGTATCAAGTCCGATAAGCAAAGAGCGGAGCTGTTGTTCCAAAGTGGAAGCCATGCTAAGATTCAAAGCCGAGTATCGTCCTGAGTGATCAGCTGGAACAGGAGGTGCCAGGTCTAGAATTGAAGAGTTGCTCGACATAGTGGTTCGGGATAAATCTTGATCACTAACAAGATCAGATAACACGATATTGACCAAATGAGAGTTGTGCAGAACGACGGGAATTTCATCCAACAGGCGGGTGAAGTTGTTCCGACCCAGTAAAGAAGCTGCTTCCTATGGAAGAAAGGCAGGTTTGAGTATAGCAGAGCTCGAATTGCATTCGGTATTACCTCAGAAGCTAAGACTTGACGAAAACAAACGGTGACAGAGAAACGAAAAAGTATATCGAGATCTTGGGTGACATCGATCCAAATGCACCGTGGTTTCGTTTCAAAAACTACAGAATTGATTGCTTCGGAATTCCATCATGTTTGGTCGTGTTTTATTCGAATCCCTCTTCAATTGATTCCACCTGAAATAAAATCCCTGCATAATATCCAACAAGGGATATTAGTCTTTCCCAGAACGCTATTTTTTGACGCAGGTAATGTGCAGGCTTCCCCATCGTTTCCGAAGCAGCTTTAAGTTGTTTATTACTCATTGTTTTAACCCTTCCTCGATCTATTCGATTTACTGTGACGCACAGATAATCAAGTGCGATAAAGCGATACACCTGAATTTCTCGATAAACAAACCTTAGTTAACTTGTAAACTGTCATGTTCCTTGATGCATACAGCGTATAGCCGAATGCGAAAAGGATTACTGGATTTTACCCAGCAATAGAACAGGCCGATGGAATGCACAGTTGATGTCCCACATTTTGGCATTTTTCCACGTCCGAAAGTTGAGCACGATCAAGCTGTAGGAATGGGAGTGTCCCAATATATTGGGATTCGGTCCAGCAGTATGGGACAGTAAGTAACAGTGTCAACATTGATGTTTCGGGTCGGGTTCGAACCACGGACCATTCGGTCAGTAAATTCGCGCCCTAACTACTTGTGCCATCTCGCCCCCGATGACAATGATTATGACAAATGCGAACCGGCCTTTGCGTAGTACATTTAATTGAACGATACAATAAACGAGATCCAATTACGCATTCAGTGAACAAACTACAAAACGGGTGTTTATCCCCACTGCTGATATCAGCTTAGCAATAGATCGTGTTTGATTCACTGGTAGTAATCTTTACGAGACAACAGCAAAATCTGGAATCGTTCAACATGAAAACGTCGTTACACCAAAACGTTGGAAAAAATAAACAAATGACCAACCTAAGAGCAACAAAAGACGTGCTGATAGGACGCCCTAACCTTAAACTGACAGATCCAAGAAAGCGGGATACAAAAGAAAAAGACAAATAGTCACTCACACATTCCCATGAAACCTCCGGGCCCTAGAAAAAAGAAAGCGATTAGTGAGAGCGGACAACCGTAATAAACAAATTTAGTTTGTTATTATGCCACCACCATCTCTATTCTGGCAGCACTAAATGATGCCCTGAGCTCAGAAGAATAACTGACTCAGCACAATACAGACTAAATGCCTTGTTTCATTTCAATGAAGAAGAGAATAACACATGTTAACTGGTACCAAAGTGTATCCTTTGGCGATGTACAAATATCAAAAGACTTCTATCCAAGAGCCAGCATGAACTAATTTGGACGAAATACGCGGAACGAGTTGCGGAAAGTCACAAAAGCCTTTCGTGCTAAAAAAAAACCTGACAGATTCGATCCTCATCTTACTTCCGACAAGGTGGATTTAAATTTAAGGTAATCACACAGTCACTATTCCCACACTACTGCTATTTGTCATCTGGCCTCTTAATTTGAACTTGGGAAACCTGTGCAATGCGTATTTTAGATACTTTTACGTTAGAGATTTTCGAAAATTCTTGGTTGATGGATTTCCCCAGGAGGCGTCTTCAATACCATGCCCCGAAAATCGAGGTCCGTTGTCGATATTCTGCCAAATCCTAAATCGACTGTTGAGACACGTTTTGTCGCCCAAATAGCAAGCGTCGCTACTAGTGCTTCAAAACTATGTAAAGACTGATGTTGTCGTTGAAGCCGGCGACCAAGGTCGATGCCGAATAATAATAAACTGACAGTAATCATTAAGCTGTAACACCCTTTCGGTGCCTAGCTGCCATCCCACAGGAAGCACTAGGGTGGAATACCATCTGCCTCGCAGAGCTCTTTTCACCCAGCCCTGTGCTGAATGGAAGCAACTGACGGGTGGACAGTGTATGACCTGGCAATGAAGTGTGGAAACACTAACCAGCAAACTTAGGTAGACAACTGTCACTTCCCTGGATGGAGACCCCAAGGCTAAATTCACTAGTAGTTAATGACACTAGCAGAAATTGGCCAATGGCACGATCAGTAGCGCGTAAACATCAAAGCTAACCTCTTCAGTGTGTGGCTAACCAGTTCCCGAACAAACTTAGCATGAGCGCAAATATGACTGTACGCAGAGCGGTATACGACAGGGGTGCACGACCGCAGTGAGATCTGGTAACCGTGTTTCGAAGACAATACACACCGACAGTGAAAGCCAAGCTTCAACAAGTATCTAATATGGAGTGAGATGTTGAAAACTGTGAAGTTGAGCAGATCTTCTGAACCCCGTAAGAGAACGCCTTGGTTTATCTCGCTGGGCGACAGCTCAAACCCAGGAAGCCAGTTACGGGGCCGGTAGGCAACCCAGACGCGGTGCACCAGCTGAATGCCAAAGATGTGTGGGCGGGAGCACACGGCAGTTGCACGAACGAGTGATACTTTCCGGTATCTCAGAGGTAAAAATCTCACTCATAAGGAAAAGGATAACAGGGTCCAGTGTTGGCCAAAACCTCAGTGGTCTCACCTGAGTGGTTGCGCGGTGATTCGCCAGCTCCAGGGCACATGGACCAAGGCACATCTTATTCCAGTCGCTCATGCGTACTTGGGGACGTACCGGGCTTCTGGTACGGTCTGACGGCACTTCAATCGTACTGGATAATTAACCGACGGCCACCGTCAAGTTGGGCGATCGGAGAGCGCAGTGGTTATGGACCACTGTTTTTAACCCGTCATTTCTGTGGGAAAGACAGCACTGCTGTTTCCGTAACTATAGACTGGCTAGTCGCCTGCGCACTACCTATTAATCCCTACAAACTCTTATCACGAAAGACTACGGGTCTACCTCGAGACTTCCTTGGCTAAGTAGTCTAGCTACTAGTCGCACTGCTCCCTTTTGGCCTTCACGGAATGGTCAAGCCTCGTCGAACACTATTCTAGTCCGCGTAACCCACGGATTCACTTCCGATCCTAAACTGTCAAGGTCTTTGTGACTTTAAAATCCAGGCTCACTTGCCCGCACAACACTGAACTCCGTTCCAGGAGGCGCGAGCCCGAAGACCTTCCGATAAGAGTGACTATGCTGAGGAACTTGCTCAAATAATAATGAATTTTTAATTCTAGCCCGAGAGTGAAAACCTCACCTTCGGAGTATACGAAACCCGTAGACGCCGCTCGGCATCGGACCTGGCGTTCAATATATCTGACGCTAGACGATAAGCCTTGAGGCCAATATGACCTCTTGTTGTTCTTGTTGGATCGTAGGTTAGCAGGATTGCTTCCGGCAGATTGCTCTGGCACTGGTAAATATTGTCAATGTTGGCCCTGTTGATGGATATTCCTCCGGGTCCGCTTTGGTAGAAGCCCACATTCAAGTAATCAATGTTAAGCTGAAAAAACTCACGTGACTTATCGGGAAACCAACCTGTCTGAGGTTTTTTATCATGTTCACTTCAAAATTAAGTAGAGCTTCGTTGGCTGCGGGATCGTCATCCTGAGTCTTGGGGAGCAAGAAACAATTGGTAACTTCCAAGACATTCCCGTTACAGAGACCCAATAACGTTCCGTTGACACAATTCTGACTAGCGAGGGCCTCTTCCTGATACTGCTTTATCATTTTAAGCAGTACGAGGCCTTCAACTTGCACACAGTCAACCCGGACTCGTGACATACTCAATGCGGCGAAATTCCTTGTGTAACGCGCGCGAGTCTAGGTCATTAATTCAATTGGTAAAATAGGCCTAAACGCAGGTAGACAGCTAAATGATCCTGGCTCGGATATTCCTACATCGAACTCGGACTCAGATTCACTTCATGGGTTGAAAGGAAGGAATCGATGATCTTCATCTTCTCTGGTGCTGGGCACATGGGTGAATGGAAAGACTGTCCTCTTTGGATATGTAAGTACATGCAGTTATAAATGGATGACGTGGGTACCAGTGGAGCTAGTTAGATATAAACTGTGGGGTGCCGCTACATGATAGACGTGCAGAGTGAAGAGGGGATATTATGTCTGGATTTGGAAGGGGACGGTGAACATAGGTGATAGCAGCTGTTCAGGGCGAATTCATTGATGCAGGATGACCTTCAAGAGTACTATATGCCAGTGGGGAGGATGTCGACCTCGTAGCCCTTTGCTGGAGACTCTCTCTCTCTTACTTTTATCAAAATTCGCTCCGGTATCCGAACAGATACTTCCAAGCTAGAATCACAGTGGGATATAATCAACTTTGGAGTGCAGTTCAGAGCAATCAGCATGGCAAACTAAACGTTTCAGTGGCCCTTTTTACGAAATGAATGAACGCTAACAAACAGGAAGGTCGCAGAGGTCAATACGTATTCACGGATTCACGGATTAATACACAGGATCGAAGCCTTTGCCCAAGTTTCCCTGGTCGGTTTTGTTCTTGTCGGTCAGTGGCTGTCGTTCAGCTGGAAGGCACAAGTGAAAAAAGGGTGTAGCACTGCTCTTTATGTTCTCAGCGCGGGGCAGTATGCTTGCCAGCGCCAGGATTCGCATAAATAGATGTCTAATAGTGCTTTAAATTGGGTTCTAGAAGGAGCGTGTGCAACCGTCGGAGGGAGGTCATTCCACGCAGCTACTACCCGAAATGAAAAAAATTTTGTCTAATGAATGTGTGTGCCCTGAGCTTGAAAATATTCTTACTATGCCCCCGTCGGGTGTTTGCTGGGTCAATGGTAAAAAACCTGTTTGCCAAGCTTTGTTCAAACAGGGCGTAAGTAAGAATTAGGTCCCCTCGGAGGCGACGGTACTCCAGGGGAAAGAGATCAAGCATCGCGTGACGCGTTTCGTAGTCCACGGATTTGAGGCCGACAACCATTCTCGTAGCGGCCCGCTGGACACACTCAATGAGGGTGACGTCTTTCGTACGTCCTGAGTAGACAACTTGGTTGGCGTACTCAAGGAGCGGTCTGACGTAGGCACCATAGAGTATTTGGAAGACCATGCGAGTTATACGGGAGAAGGTGTGTCGGATCATCCGTAAAATGGCGAATGCCTTTTGGGCCGATTTCTCATGGTGTAGTGAGAACGACAAGTTTGAGGAGACCCAGAAGCCCAAATCTTTTTTGTCATCTATCCTCATGATGTCTTCTGGTCCTTTTTCACCATGCATAACAAGGGCATTCGCTAAATCCCCTCCAAACGACATATGGACGCACTTTTCATCATTCACCATATTTGCCATAATCAGCAGTTGCTATTGTTTGATTTCCGCTTGATTGCGCCTTAGATTGGTTTGCTTTCTGTGGGGCAAATGCCAGCGAACATCAACCACTATACAGAGGGTTCGAGAAACTCTGGCAATTTTTCCGTATACTTGGCAAACGCAGCTGAAAATAATGATGATTAGTCCATGTCAAAGAGAGCACAGTGATAGGTTCTTGAAGAAAGCCCTTATGCTACGCAAATGACAGGAACTGCCAGAAAAATGGAGCTCAATTTTATGAGAGCGGAGCCGAAGCGTATAGGATCTTCAGAGGAGCCGAAATTGTGTAGCGCGGGACCATGCCCAAGCCTTTTCTTCAAATGATATACCTATCACTCTTGCTGTGTTTTGAACAGAGGGATCACAGATATAAACATTAACCTGACGTTGGATATGGAATGGTTTACAAGAGGAGAACAGATAACGTTCTATTTCAAGGCGTGTCATCAATTGGCATTGAAAACACAGGTGTAAATGCCAACGACTTAAGTACCTACAAACAGCACTGTACATTGTTCAAGGTGCAACAATCAGCATCACAATAGAAGTCACACATTGGGCAGAAGACTTTCGAAGCAGTAGCAAGGATATAGACCGAAAGACATGTACCACCCCAAACGTGTTGTGGGTACCTAGAGGGCCACAAATGGCGGGCGAATCCAGAACTTGGACCATAATATTAGGAAGACTTAGTTCAACGTCAGCCTCAGCGGACTGAGAAGAGCACATCCTTCGACGTAAAGAAATCATCGGTTGGTGAACCGGAGAATCAGCACCATAGTTGAGGGCACGTAGAACTGAGCCGCTGGAGGGGAACACCCGTCAGCACCACGCCTCTGCTCCTCCTCATGCTATACAAGTACCCTGCACAAACCCGAGGATGCCTTGTGTGTCACAGCTGCTTGCCCTCCAGAACGCGGGATATTTTAGCCTGAAGCAGTCGCTCTGAGCTCTTCGAAGACGGTGCGCCGTAGTAGGCGGAGACCCACGCCACAGCAGTTTCAACCCAATCATGAAGGACACACCCAGCGCCTTGCACGATTCAAAAGGACTGCAGAATATTCACAGAAATCTCTGGTTAACCACAGTTTCCGGGACAGAAATTGATCTGTTCACCGAGACCAAGCCTGACGCTTCTAACGCATGCCTCAAACGGATTGTATCGGGGCTGGATATCGCGGACGAATATTTAAGTAAATGCGCTCCGGATACACAGGCCTCCGGTTTGGGAAAGCCGGGCGACCAACCCTCAAAAACGCAAATTAACACCATCGTGCGTGACGTTGCAGCCACTGGCTCTTTCCTGGTGCCCCCAAACGCACCTTGGGCTCGGGGTGGAAGCCTGTGAACTCGAACAAACTTACCAGAGACAGGATCATTGGCCATCTACTTGGTACTTGGCACGTGATAATCAGAATTGTGTCATGCGTAATCTGTACTGTGTCTTGTTGGTTGAATCCAGACTTGAGAATACTGATTCCCCCTGTTTGTTTATCCATGTGTATGTAGATATTTGGGGTGCCCTACGAAAGACGTATCGAGCCATCAGTAAATGGCGTGATGCAACTGTCCAATCTTTTAAGCTTGCTTCTGTGGAGTTGGCTTAGTACAAGCGGATATGTTAGCCTCTTTTTCAGGCAGTTCTTTGCAATGCAGCTTCAACCGGGCATACGCCGACTAATCGAGCATGTTGGGCGTGGATTTCGGCGAAGGCGAATGCACCCGCTAAGATGCCATTGACCTGGCGGCATTGAGGCTCTACCCTCATGATGAATGATGCTATTAAAAATGCTTTTTTCAGCTGGTGGGCTACATACCGTCAGGCATGGTCATGATGGTTCAGTCTGAACAAAAGCGCTACTGTTGTGGGTACTGAAGTAGTCACACAAAATGGCGCGCACTTTCCGACTTAGGTGAGGTCATGTCTAAACTGGCACGATTCGTAATATTAAAAATAATGTATATTCCCAGCCAGTGGGTGACATGCCGTTAGACATGATCGCAATAGTACCGTAAGAATAGAAACTTGGTTGGGGGGTTCGTGGTTACTCAGGATTGCGCGGTAATGGGACAGTAACGGTGATGGTCGTGCCTAAATGGGCATGGTTATTACCGCTGTTGAAGCGAATTCAGGCTTAGATGTACTCTGAGAAAGTGAGTTGCTACTAACCCACTGAGTGAGGCGCGAACTGTACAGGAACTGATTTCATTAGCGGGGAAGCACAAAATGGAATTTCACCGATATGGGTCTAAACGAATGTTTCGGCGGATTAAAACGGACTTGTCTTGGAAGCTCATTGGCCAGGTGGAGAGTTTGTATATAGTTGCAAATAAGGAAATGAGTGGGCGGGACGCCACGGTTGAGAGTAGGAAAGGAGTTGTTACGAGTGTGCCACCAGGCTGATAACGGTAGTGCCGTGTGATCATTTCACTTCGGTCTCTGGATGACCCCATAACGGAAGGCAGTTTTGAGATTGGCGGACTGGGAATGTATAATTCTTTGGGCAGCAGGATTTCGGGTCGACCACGGTGATCCATGGAGGTAAAACAAACCGATGCAAAATCGCGGGTGATTTTGGTAAGGCTGGATATTCCTTTAGTTTGGAAGCGCGTATCAAGTGGAGTAGATGCCGCCCATGCACGACGTTTGAAGCTCGGGAACAAGATGGGACAGGTGAAATTGATGAGGCATGGTGATTTTGTGGGCGTATCTGATATGAGGAATTCCATGGGAGGAAAAATAATGACAACCTAAAGCTTAACCCGGTTATTGTGGTGATAACAAGTAGCCAAGCACGATGGAATGGTTAGTATCATTCATCAAGCAATGAAGGACTGGCTAAGTTCGTCACTATAATACCTTATAGTGCATAGCATAGAAAAACAGTATAAGTATGCAGTTAGGTGGCGTGAAAAGGGGTAGCAAATGTGAGGGCTGATGGGATAGAACCTTCAAAGTGATGGACTGCCTCATGGCATTTGCTGTGGGAGTTGGACAGTACCCCAATCTGGAGGCGGAAGCGAGTGTCCCGTAGCACCCTTATTAGCTTCAATCTGCCGGTGGTGGGTGGCGAAATAAACTGATAGTCGCTAGCTATAAATGCTATACTGAGCCGATTTGTGCTGTAAAAACCTCCGGTGGAATGTCGGTTTGGTACTACGTCCACAGAGTAAGAGTGTGGTCCGATGATGATGCCCTCCTCACAGCATTTGAGGGTTACTTAGCGCGCTATCGGCCGGCCTTGAAGAGTGACCGGGTTAGCCTCGTTGCCCCAATGCGTTTATTTATACACAATTGGGCGTGGATGATAAAAATTCAGGATACAACAACCGCCTAAATGAGATCGGGTACAGTAGAATTATCAGATGAGTTGATTTAAGTAAAGGAATGTGAAGTAAACCGTACGGTTCAAGGAATGACCTATCAGATTTAGAACTGTGG